CTAAGGCAGCGCAGGTACTGATTCAGGCTCTTGTCATCTCCCGCCTGGACTACTGCAACTCCCTCCTGGCAGGTCTCCCTGCCACCGCCATTCGACCTCTGCAGCTCATTCAGAATGCAGCAGCTCGACTGGTCTTCAACCTTCCGAAATTCTCCCACACTACTCCACTCCTCCGCTCTCTTCACTGGCTACCGGTGGCCGCCCGCATCCAGTTCAAAACACTGGTGCTCACGTACCATGCTGTGAATGGATCGGGTCCAGCTTACATCCAGGACATGGTCAAACCCTACATCCCAACCCGCACTCTCCGCTCTGCATCTGCAAAACTACTCGTCCCTCCCCCACTGAGAGCAAAACACTCGACTAGGTCTCGACTCTTCGCTGTCCTTGCGCCGAAATGGTGGAACGCGCTCTCTGAAGACATCAGGACCGCAGAGAGCCTTCACATCTTCCGCCGCAAACTAAAGACACACCTCTTCAGACTCTACCTCGACTAAAGACTAACAAATTGTAGCACTTAAACTGTACTTGTGACGTCACTCATCTATAGCAAATTGTAAATTCGCTTATTTGAGGAAATTGCACTTTCTTGTTTCTTGTTCTCCTGAGTTTGTACCCTATGGTTGAATGCACTTATTGTACGTCGCTTTGGATAAAAGCGTCAGCTAAATGACATGTAATGTAATGTAATGTAATGTAATGTGTGTGTGTGTGTGTGTGTGTGTGTGTATGTGTGTGTGTGTGTGTGTGTGTGACGGACAGGAAGCTCTCTTTGTGTCGGCTCATGTGGGTTTCAGCATCTGTGTCATCATTAGTATCATAACCCTGTAAATATGCATCCTCCTCCAGTGTTTCTCTCTGACTGATCGCATACATTATGGACCCCCCCCCCCCCCTTCTATGACAAATGCAGTTTGGGAGTTTTCCTCCCACAGTTGAACGGCGGCGCTTCACTGCCACCGAGTGGATCGAAGACGACGAGTCTTTAAATATTTATGTTTTGTTCAAACATATCTAATTCATTTCCATCCAGGTGAGAATTAATTGAGAACCACAGCACGATGGCGTTTGCTGGTCCAACGCGAGTGGGACATGAATTGGAAGTAAGTAACAAGACAAATGTCCCACTGACCGTGACCGCCATCTTTCTCACCTCTGACTCCACACCTCTCATCTCCCAGCATGCCTCTCGGCGTCGGCCGCCTACAGGCAGTCACAAAAAGGTCTCAAGCTACTTCATTTGATTTCTTGATTCATCTATTTATCTCCTGCCGGCGCCGTAAACATAAATCACAGCGAGCCGAGCGCAGTGCTCGTATAAATGTCAGGACAGACGGCAGAGCTTATTAACCTCTAATTTGATCTTTATTCATCCGGGACACGCTGTGAATAAAAACCCACCCGGTAGGTCACCGCACGCTCCGTCTACCAGGCGGCAGGCCCCGCCCTCTCTGCTCGTTAGGCCACTCCACTTCTGATTGGTCGGTTCGGCCTCTGACCTCGTTAAGAACAGAGGTTCAGGTAGTAGAGACAATTTGGATCATTAGTTATTGGCCTATATGATAAAGTTGGTTAGATGAATTTGGCTTAAAATACATAATTAATAATATATTTAAGCATTGAATTATTCTCCTCCCTCTCTTCCCAGATGTAACTCCTCATCTTCCTCCTCTTTTTCTCCTTCTTTCCTCCCCTCTTCCCAGGATTCTCTCCTCTACTTCCTCTCTAACAGTATATTAACATCCCCATCTCTCTTCCTCTTCTTCCTTTGCCACCCTCGTCTTCGTCGGAAGCTGCTGATGAAGCGGCACTTGTGGCTCTGACTGATGGAGCGTCACTGATCCCTGCTGGCCGACCGAGTGAACTGCAGAAAAACAGGAGCTCTGGACATGTTGATGGAGACTGTTTGATGGAGACTGTTTGATGGAGACTTATTGATGGAGACTGTTTGATGGAGACTTGTGGTGGAGACTGTTTGATGGAGATTTATTGATGGAGACTGTTTGATGGAAACTTATTGATGGAGACTGATGGAGACTTGTTGGTGGAGACTGTTGATGGAAG